GACATGTGCCATCCCCAGCCACTTCAAACGATGAAAAGCATTTCTCTGCTAGCATGAACCCTCTGTAGCACGAGCTGCCTCTACAGATTAACACCAGCGACACTCCAACGCTTATTTATGGCCTACGTACCTCTGGGCAATGACAGATTGTTTCCAGATTTGTATAGAAGGCATGCTGTGATGTCAAAACAAAAGCCATGCTTTCATTAAAACAAAAGGATCATGAGCCTTAATTACTGATACAACACATCAGTGATGGACTCTAAATTAAAGACAGCATTGGCTACCAGCCCAAGCCCTCCCCACTTTGGCCTTTTTACTCTTCACCTTTATACAGTCAGACTTGTAAAGCAGAACAATTTCCATCCTTAAAGTTAGGTTCTGGGCTCCCCTCCAACAGGTTCAAAACCACTGTACCCAGTGTAGTTGAAATGCTCTAAAGACCAGAAATCAGATTCCCAGCGCTGCATGTAGCACAGTAACCAGACAGAATCATCATCTAAGGTCCCGTCCTCCTTCACAGCAGGGGAAAAAAGAAAGAATTAGATTTTGCAATGACTGAGCCTTGTGATCATGGAATCATTCACAGAAGATTCAGTAACTCACTGGCAAAAAGAATATCCCATGACCTTGGAAAAGGTCCAGAAATCCTCCCACTCCCTCGGGCAGTCGCTACACGGAGGGCAACCGTGGACTCCAGTTCTTTAGGGAGAATGCTGGACCCATCCCATGCTTTTCCATAAAGCAAACTGTTTCCCGCTCATAGCTTCTCGAGTTAATAGGCTTTCAGAAGCAAGAAATAAACAGCTGCCTGCACATCAGGGTGTGCTCCATAAAGGTATATTTAACAACTCCAGTACATCCCAGTACTTGACTGGCTATCTCAGCATTTGCTGGGTACTGCCGGATTCCTGTCTTGAGCTGGATTACCAGATAAGAATATACCACCCACTTTTTTGGGTTCAAGAGCCAAATCAAAGCCTTCCTTTGCTTATCATATACTAGGAAGGTCTGCATAGTAATGTCTACGCTAGCTGGAAGTTGCTTATTACATTTCTTAAAAGCATTCCAAATAGCCTAAACAAACAGCCTAAACAAACTACCTGCCAAGCCAAGTAGGAACAATCTTACTTCTCTCCCCTTGCTTTTGTGGTCACCGTTGATCTTACCCCTAAGCACCTTCTTTTCACATTCCTCATCCAAACTGTTAGCTTCCACAGGTTTTTCAAAACCCACGTGTGTCGTGTGTAAGCATTTTTCGAAGTAAAATCCTTGCTCAATGTTTTCTCTTGTAGGAAGATGCAGGCTGGTGAAAAAATTCTGCCTCTCTTCCATTTTCTGGAAAGCCTTGTCTACACGTGTTAAATTGGTGCTCACTTCTTTGATTAGTAAGACGAGATCAGCCTGGGTATTTAACCGAGCTTCCATTTCTTCTCTTACTCGCTGGATTTCCTGAAGCACGGCTCTTATATCCAAGTGACTGGACTCCACCTCCGCTTTCAGATCTTCTTTCACCTGTTGCTGGCTCCTCTGCAGCGCTAACACTGTTCTGATTTCCTTCTGAGACATTTCCACATCATGCTTTAGTTCCCTCTGTCCAGCCTGCATTGCCTCTTGGCTAGCTCTCACTTCTGCCAGCAGAGCAGCGAGGCACTCCATCCTGATCCCAAGGGAGCGGAGAACCTCTTCCACTGTCACAGCTTCTGAGCAGTCAGGGACATCTGTGAGCTGATAGGAGGTTTCCCTGGATAGCAAAAGAGCTAGCACACAGCCTTCGGTATGGTAGCCCACCTCAGTTTACAGCACGCTGCAGCCAAGGGTAGTAGGTAAAAGTCTAGTACCAGGTGAGACAAAGGCACTGAATAAAACACTTCAGTAAGCAGGGCTCTAGAGCCAGAGCTCCTTCTCAGGACTCAGCCAGAGCACTAATCAGTTTAATTGGCAGATTTTGCCACACCTGGATTTTTTAAAATCTTTGGCTGACATCACTGTGCATGGGACGTCACCCCAAAAGCCACTCCCAACAGTCACTTGATCTGTGCATCAACCAGAGTATGCCCGGAGATCAGGAACCAGGTTTGCTGCAACGCAGCCAAGCGCTCCGCAGGAACGCAGCAGCCCTTCCTTTCCAACACAAAGGCTCCCAAGGAGCCCAGACTGCCTGCAGGAGCCAAAAGCCAAACAGCTCAACACTTACTTCACCTGCATACTGTGCACCTGCCCTCCTGCTAATGTTTGCAGTGCAGGTTCAGGAGTGCGTCTGTGAGCAGCTCCGACATCGCCCCACTCCCACCCAACGCCCTCCTCATTCTCACAGCTAGGAATGCTCTTTTAGCAACCTTTGGAAGAACCCAGACCCGGAGGAAGTCCCTCTAGTGCACAAACAATGGTTACCAGAGCAATACAGGAAAGCTGAGTAATGAGATGTTTTTGGCAGGTTGAGGAGGCTCAGCCTTCAGCTACCAGGTCTGAGCAGTAACTGCTCTCTCTAAAAGCTCAGCCTTCGCACTTTCAAGCGCCGAACTCATTACAGGTCTAGGCTCCATCTAGAAACGGGCAGATTAATGACACCAGGCTATTAGCTGT